GGGGATTATGGTGGAGGGGTAGGAGGTCTGGGGTGTGTGGCACTGGGGTGCAGGGGCTGTAATATAAGCGCGTAGGAGGTGGAGGGTGTGTAGGCGTTCGGGGTGCTGTGGCACAGTTCGGGGGGTGGCACAGACCTGCTGGGGGTGTGTCGGGGGGGCAAAGGACTTATCGTTTCTGCTCGGGGGGTGTTCCTGAGGGTCCGGGCTGTATGGCGCGGGGGGCGGGCGGGCACTAGGACCCAGCGTTGCCCCGAGCATGGACAGGCCACGCCCCCGTGACTCTAAGCCCCGCCCCTAACTCGCACAAGCCCGGTCTGTGTTCTGCCCCAGGCCCCGCCCACAGCGAGCACAAACCCCGCCCCCTAACCCAAGCCCCGCCCACGGCGAGTGCAAACCACTCCGCTGCATTTCTAAGCCCCACCCACGGCTCCTCAAGCCCCGCCCCTTTCAGCTCGCGCGGCGCGGCCGGGCAACGTCAGCGCCTCGCGCGCGTCGCGCTCGTGTCGTCATCGGCCCTGAGGGCGGCGGGAGGGGCCGGGCGGGACCGGGGCCGGACCGGGACAAGGGCCGGGACAAGGGCCAGGAACGGGCCGCGCCGGGGCGGCCCCGCGGGCACCGGCGGCGATGGCACCGCGGCTGCAGCTGGAGAAGGCGGCGTGGCGCTGGACCGAGACGGTGCCGCCCGAGGCGGTGGCGCAGGAGCACATCGAGGCGGCCTATCGCGTCCGGCTGGAGCCCTGCCAGCGCGGAGCCTGCCGGTACCTCTGCACGGCCCCTCCCGCGCCGCCCGAGGGGGGTTGGGGCGTCCCCCGGGCAATGAAACCACCCCTCAGACAGACCCAGGGGGTTGGGGCTCCCCCGGGCACTGAAACCACCCCTCAGACAGACCCAGGGGGTTGGGGGCTCCCCCGGGCACTGAAACTACCCCTCAGACAGACCCAGGGGGTTGGGGGCTCCCCGGGACTGCGGGACCCCCCCTATGTCCATCATCAGGATTTGGGGCTCCCCCGAGCACCCAGCACCCCCCTCTGCCCACCCTTGGGGTTTGAGGGCTCCCCCTGGCACTGAAACCCCCCCCTCTGCCCGTCTTCGGAGTTTGGGGTCTCCTCCTGCCTGGGGGCCCCCCCGTGCTCCCTCCCCCACGAGATGGGGGGGGCTCCCTGCCCTTTAGGGGTCCCTCAGGGTTTGTGGAGACCTCCCCCTTGTGTTTGCTGGGGGGGCCCTCAGCCCTCCCTGTGCAGCTCCATGGATTTAGGGGCTCCCTCGTGTTGGGGGAACCCCCTGTCCCTGCCTGGCTCCCCAGACATGGGGGACCCCCTCTGAGTTGTGGGGGACCCTTCTCCCTGCCTGGATGTGGGGCCGTCAACCCTTGAGTTGTGGGGAACCCTTTTGTTCCCTGCCTCCCCAAATACAGGGGATCGCCCTGGGGTTGTGGTGGACCTCTCTAATTGTTTGCCTGGTCAGATGTGGGGGCACCCCCTGTCCCTGCCTGACCCCCCAAATTCAGGGCACCACCCTGCCATAGGGGGGGACCCCTTGTTGCTCAGCCCTTCAGATATAGGGGAATCCCTCCAGTGGGGTTGGGGGGGACACCTCTGCTTGCTTGTTCCTCTCCACATATTGGGGGACCCTGGGGTTGTAGGGAACTCCTATCCCTGCCTGGCTCCTCAGATCTTGGGGATCCCCTTCCCCTCCCTCTGACCTTTTCCATCCCCTTTTTTTGTCCCTATAACCACCATTTTCGGGGGGGGGGGGGGAATTTGTGACCATATCCCACCGCATTCCCTCCGTTCATCCTTATGGGGTACCCCCCTTGCCCTGCCCCCTCCCCCTGCCCCCAGGGGGACGTGGGGGTGACACTTGGGGTCCGTTCTCCCAGGAGGAACTGCCGGGGGAACCCCAACTGCCTGGTGGGCATCGGGGAGCACGTGTGGCTGGGTGAGATCGACGAGAACAGCTTCCACAACATCGACGACCCCAACTGCGAGCGCCGCAAGAAGGTAACCCCCCGAAATCCCCCAAAAGCCCACCCCCTGCCTTCCCCGGCACCAGGGGACAAGGGGAGGCCACTCCTGACCCTTTGTGTGTCCCCACCACCACCCCACAGAACGCCTTCGTGGGCCTGACCAACCTGGGGGCCACGTGCTACGTGAACACCTTCCTGCAGATGTGGTTCCTGAACCTGGAGCTGCGCCAGGCACTCTACCTGTGCCCCAGCGCCTGCAGCGACGGCGTCCCCAAGGACACAGGTGAGTGGCACATTCTCCTGGGAGAGGGGGAGTCCCTCCTTTCCTCCCCACACTGGGTGTTGGCTCTGGGATAGGCTCAGCAGGAGGGTTTTTGCGGGGGGAAGCTGCAGTGGTGGTCCTAGGGATGGAACATATGGATCAGGGCTGATCTGGGCTCTCACACAGCTGCACTTATCCCGTGGGAGGGCAGGAATTTAGATTCCAGGTAGGATTAAGGCTCCCAACTGCTCCCAGTCCCTGTGGGTGCTGTCCCTGTGGGTGCTCTGGGTCAGCACAGCCCCCTCAGTCCTGCTGGTTTACGGTGGTTTTAATGACGTTTCACCATTTTGGGTAAATCAGAAGCATGTGCTGCTTAAACCCTTCATTCCCAGCTCGTGCTGTGCACTGTGGGATGGAACCATGGAATCACTGAGGCTGGAAAAGCCCTCCAAGATCATCAAGCCCAACCATTCCCCCAGCACTGCCCTGTTCATCCCTAAACCTTGTTCCCCAAGTGCCACATCCACATGTTTCCTGAAAACCTGCAGGGATGGGGACTCCACCACCTGCCTGGGCAGCCCCTTCCAATGCCTGAGCATGAAGGAATTTTCCCTAATACCCAACCTAAACCTGCCCTGGCACAGCTGGAGGCCGTTTCCTCTCCTCCTGTCCCTTGTTCCCTGGGAGCAGAGCCCGACCCCCCCTCAGCTCCACCCTCCTGTCAGTTGCAGAGAGCAAATATTTACAGTTGGACTCCATGATCCCAAGGGTGTTTTCCAACCTAAATCATTCTCTGTTTGGCCTGTGCTGGGATTTGCCCTCATCACCAACACGAACCCTTTTCAATTCTCCCGACAACTAAACTCACCATTTCTAGTCATAAAACTCACCCTGACAAAGCCAGAATGGGCAAAACACCTGGATCAATCCCTTCCTGTCCTGAATTCCTGGCTGTGCCTTGTGTTTCCCCCCCAGACTACGAGCCCCAGAGTATCTGTGAGCACCTGCAGTACCTGTTTGCGCTGCTGCAGAACAGCAAACGGCGCTACATCGACCCCTCGGCCTTCGTCAAGGCCCTGGGGCTGGACACGGCCCAGCAGCAGGTGCGTGGGGGCCTGGCCATTCCAGGGACCTGGAATTGCCCTTGGATCTTGGTTTGGCTGTTCCTCAGCTGGATCTTGCTGCTGGGGGCAAACACGAAGGGAGGATTGGGGTTCTGGGCCCTTCCAGAGCACAGCGGGGTCAAGAGGGGGCCAGGGAGTGATGGGATGGGGCCAGGGAGTGATGGGATGGGGAGAGGGAGTGATGGGATGGGGCCAGGATGATCAGGAAGAGCCCAGGGAGCAGTGGGATCACAAGAGGGAGTAATGACATGAGGACAGACAGATCAGAAGTGTTAGGGGATAAGGAAAGGGAGCAATGGGATGAGGTCAGGGAGAACAGGAGGAGCGTAGGAAAGGATGGGATAAGGCCAGGCAGTGATGGGATGAGAAACAGGGAGATCAGGAAGAGCCCAGGGAGTGATGGGATCGGGACAGGGAGCTCAGGAGGAGTCTGGGGAGCAATGGGGTGGGAACAGGGATTGATGGGATTAGGACAGGGAGTGATGGGGTGAGGACAGAGAGATCAGGAGGACCTCAGGGAGCAGTGGGATGGGGACAGAGAGTAATGGGATGGGGATGGGGAGATCAGGAGCACCTCAGGGAGCAGGGGGGTGGGGACAGAGAGTAATGGGATGGGGACAGAGAGATCAGGAAGAGCCCAGGGAACAATGGTATGAGGAGAGGGAGCAATGGCAGGAAAACAGGGTGATCAAGAGGAGGGCGGGGAACAATGGGAGTGGGACAGGGAAGATCAGGAGGAGCCCAGAGAGCAATGAGGTGCGAACAGGGAGTGATGAATGAGGCCAGGGAGATAATGGTCATCCAGGGAGTGATAGGATGAGGACAGGAGATAAGGGAATGATGAAATGGAGACAGGGAATGCTGTAGTGCCTGGTGGCCCTGGCACTGAGCCAGGTGGGAGCCAAAGCTGCCATGAGGGTCCTCTTGCGGGTGTCCCACCCCAGTGGGTGGTTGGGTTGGTTTTGGGGCCCTCCCAGAGCAAGGAGATCCTGGTGGGATCACTGGGAGCCAGCCAGGGTAAAAGTGCTGCAGGATCCTGTGGGGCTGCAGCTGGAGAGAGCTCGGGAGAGGGGCTTGGAAATCCACTTGGAGAAATAACAGAGGTGGTTGGAGGAAGGGCCTGAGCACCAGCAGGGAATTCCTTGGGAGGACCAGGAGGGGAAGGAAACGGTCCCTGCCAACCAGGGACACCAAAAGGGCAGGTGGGAGAGGCCCAAAGCTGTTTGTTTTTGGAAGAGCAGAGCCGGGGTGGGAGAGGAAAGTCCTGAGCTGGGCGTGGGGAAGCTCGGGAGGCTGACAGGGATCAACCTCGGGGCAGCCTCTCGGTTTTGGGGTGTTTTCATTGCCCTGCTCCCCTCTGCTCCGAGCAGGGAGCGCTGGCTCTGCGAGCTGAGCTTGGAAAACCGAGACTCAAGGGGCCAGAAAGCTCCCCAGGAGGGTTTTTATTCCTTCCAGAGCCCTGGGAAGAGCAGGGCAGGAGTCAAACCCCCCGGCAGGGCTGGCTGGGGGCCAGGGCAGCTCAGCCCTGCTCCCACCCCGGGGGCCTCACACTCCTTTTAGCCAAATTCCTCTTTTTTTATCTCTTCAGTTCTCCCAACTAGTCTTCATTTTCCATTCAGTGCACAGAGCCTGGGTGCAGCCTGTGCGTGGGGCTCGGGGTAATTAGCACTAAATTAGTGCCAGGGTTGTGGCTGTGCTGTGGTGGGGTTGTTAATGAACTCGGGTTTCTCTCTTTTCAGGATGCCCAGGAGTTTTCCAAGCTGTTCATGTCCCTGCTGGAAGATACTTTATCCAAACAGAAGAACCCAGATGTCAGGAACATCGTGCAGAAGCAGTTCTGTGGAGAGTATGCCTATGTCACTGTGTGAGTATTGGCTTTGGGAAGAACCTTCTGGTAAATATTTGAATTTTTAGAAGGATTTGAGAGGGGAAGATCCCTCTTACAATGGGACCAGGCAGGTGAGCTGATGCAGAAACCTTTTCTGAGGGATTTTTAAGCTTTTAATGTCCTGTTTCTATGCCTGTGTTGTTGCTGTCTCACTTCTCCAGCTGCTCTCAGTCCTTTAATGAAAATTCACCAATCAAACCTGCAAGTGAGTTAAGGAAATGGCGAGTCCTGCAGCCAGAAAAGGGCATCCTGGGGGTTGTATTTTCACTCCTGCGTATTCAGACCTGCAGATTTCACCTTAATAATTACATAAAATGGTACAGATTTCACCTTAAAAATGATACAGATTTTCACCCTAAAAATGCATGTGAGATGTAACAGGTCCAGGTCCCGTTTGCACCACTTTTTCCTCCTGGTGTTATCCAAGGAATATTTAACTTGTGGCTGGGATACATGAAGCATGACCTGCCCTCAGAAATCTTTGTCTTCTTTCCAATCCCAGCTGCAACCAGTGTGGCAGAGAATCCAAACTGGTGTCCAAATTTTACGAGCTGGAGTTAAACATCCAAGGACACAAGCAGCTGACAGACTGTATAACAGAATTCCTCAAGGTAGGAGCTCGTTGGGGTTGGAATGCTGCTATTTTTAGCCAGGAGTTTAAATTCCTTCCTCCAATTCACAGCCTTGGAGGTCGGTGTTGGAGCAAGTTGGCTCAGTCAGATGCATCCAAGTGAAAATGTTTCTTTCTGTGGGACACAAAAAATGAGGGTTGAGGCACAGAGCCACTCCTTGCTTGTGTTATGGCTTTAAAAAGTACTTGGAAGTTGCATTTTAAGTTAAAATTCTTTGCCAGGAAAGTTGGGAATAAGTCCCTGCGTGCTTTGTCTCGGATAGCACGGGGAGAAGGGCTGGGTCCTGTGTTTTCTGTGTCAGTGCTCATCTGCACAGCAACAGGAGACATTCCCTGCTGGAAAACGTGCTCTCAGAAATGCTGGGGAGCGCCGGGAATAGCTTTGGGAACAGCTGCAAGGGCTCCTAATTCAGCTTGAAAATTTTCCTGGATCCGAAGTTCAGCTCCAGCACCTTGGGGTGCGGATTCCACTCGCAATCTTTAGGACAGAGCCGAGCTGAGCCCCTGCCCCTGAGCTCCCTGGCTGCTGCTGCTGCTGCACTCAGCAAACCGGTTGCTCTGCCTGTGGAAGGTCTGCTATGAAAAAAAACTGGTTTGGGTGCACGAATTAAAAGGCCTGAATTGGTGAACTTGATGTTTGTCTGCTCCTCCTTCAACCCAAACCACCCGATGACCTTGTTTGGGGGGGGGGGTTGGAATCCTCCTCTGGACTAATCCTGCCCTTGGGTCTACTTAGGCTCACATGGTGACTCTTGCAGGGTGATTTTGGGTGGCTGAGCAGAGGGTTGGAGCTTGCAGGCTGAAATGTGGCTTTGCATTAACTTGGGCCACGTGAAGTCGTAAAAGGGGTGATTTAATTATTTTCTTTTGGTCTAAACCAATGCAGTGAAGCAAAGAGCAAACCTGCCGGTCTGGTGAGAGACCTGACAACTTGGAAATGGTCTAAAATTGGCCTTAAAGTGAGAGCAGCCTGCTCTGGCCATGCTGCAGGATGCAGTTATTAGTGTGCCTTTTAACTGAGAGATTAATTAGGGAAGAGCAGCCGGAAAGAGACTTAAACAGTTCAAATCACTTCGCTGCTTTCAGTCTCCAGCTCCCGAGTGGCTCAGTTGGCTTTTCGGTGCTGAGCTGCTCTCCACACCTCTCCCTCTCCCTCTCTCCACACTCAGGAAGAAAAATTAGAAGGGGACAATCGTTACTTTTGTGAGACTTGTCAGAGCAAGCAGAATGCCACGAGGAAGATCCGCCTGCTCAGCCTGCCCTGCACCCTCAACCTGCAGCTCATGCGCTTCGTGTTCGACAGGTCAGCAGGAACACCCTGCAAACCCTTCGGGAAGCACCTGCTCGGCTCTTCCTGCTTTTAATTGAGGGGTCAAGGGGCATCTGAGCTTCTCTGGGGGGGTCAAGGGGTGTTATTTGGGGGGGGTGAGCTGTTACTGCTGTGCCCTGAGCCGAAGCTTTGCCCCTGCACAGGCAAACTGGTCACAAGAAGAAGCTGAACACCTACATCGGCTTCTCGGAGCTGCTGGACATGGAGCCTTTCATGGAGCAGAAAAGTGAGTTTGGAGAGGTTGTGTGTTGTCTTTACCCATAGTCTGTCAGCAGATGAGAGGTCTCTGGGATTCTGTTTAAGAAGAAATCCTTCTCTTGGAGCCAGGAATTTCCTTTATCCGTGCTGGGGGAATCTGTACACCTATATATCTGCAGTGCCAGTGACCTGTGTGGGGCTTGGAGCGCCTGTAGCTCAGGGTGGGTAGGGTTGGATGGGATTTTGGGAAGGAATTCCTGGCTGTGAGGGTGGGCAGGCCCTGGCACAGGTTGCCCAGAGAAGCTGTGGCTGCCCCTGGATCCCTGGAAGTGTCCAAGGCCAGGTTGGGTAGAGCTTGGAGCAACCTGTGCTAGTGGGAGGTGTCCCTGCATGTGGAACAGAATGGGCTTTAAGGTCTCTTCCAACTCAAGCTGTTCTGTGGTTCCTCTGAGCACTCTTTTTGATGGGAAATGATGCCAAGAGCTGTTTGAAGCCTGCGTTTCAAACAAACATCCTCATTAAGTGGGTCATGGAAGCCACAACCTCCTTAGCGAGGTCCTTGGGAAGCTGCAGGTTCGAGCGCGGCGTTTGCTGCCGGGTGCAGACACGGAGCCGTGGGGAAGCAGGGCTTTGTGCTGCTGGCCCTGGAGCTGCGTGTGAGCGGTGCTGGTGCCCTTGCAGATGGTGTGTACGTGTACGAGCTGAGCGCCGTCCTCATCCACCGCGGTGTCAGCGCCTACTCCGGCCACTACATCGCCCACGTCAAGGACCCGCAGACGGGCGAGTGGTACAAGTTCAACGACGAGGACATCGAGAAGATGGAGGGCAAGAAGCTGCAGCTGGGCATTGAGGAAGATCTAGGTAAAACCTTTCAGCTCTCAGTGCCCTTTTCAAGCAGCTCCTCTCCCCAAAGCCACAGGTCCAGCCTCCTGTTGCTCCCCGGTGCTGTCGCGGCTCTGAGGAACGTGTGAAACGGCAGTGCTGGGGATTGCAGCCAGATTTGCTGGGTTTTGGCCCTGTGTGAGTGTTTACACCTCGTGAGCAGCTCCTCTAGTATTTTTCTGGCTGCCACATGGCAGATAAGACGCTGATAACTCGGGCAGCAGCTCCTATCGGGGTGCAACAGGCAAGCGCTGCTTCCTCTGCCAGTGGCAGAACAGATAACGGGAATACTTTCAGTTTCCTTAACTCGTTATGACCCTATTTCCACTGAGCTGTCTGGCTTAAGAGGCAGTTCAAAACAAAAACCTTGATCCAAATAACGAGTTGGAAGCTAAAACTGCCTTTTTACTGTGGTGGGTCCCTTTGGATCTCTGCAGAGGGGGTAAATCCTATAAATCAGACACCTTATTCCCCCTGATAACATCCCCAAATCTTTTCCAGCCCCCCCCTTTTCAACCCTAAAACCCACCCTTCAAGCCTTGAAGCTTCAGGAATTAGCACTAACTCCTGCCTGGATCTGCGTTTTCAGCCTGTTTCCTGAGCTGTCTTGCTGTCCCTTTCCTCCCACCCCTGTGCCCAAAACAATAACTCAACAAAACCTCCTTTGAGTTCTCCTTTTCTGTTTTCCCATTGCTGGCTCGTCCTGTGCAGCCCAGATCCCCGTGTTCCTGCCCTGCATTTCCTGGGGATTTCTTGGAGAGCTTGGACTGAGGCTGGACCTGCTGGGTTCTCACTCTGCAGCCAATAAATGAGAGTGTTTAATTAGAATTTTGAGTGCTGGGCTGTGCAGGGGCTCAGTGTTCCGTAGTGCAGGTGCTTCGTGGTGGGGGGAATATAGGGAAATTAATAAGAAATTCCACTTGCAGCGCAAGGAATCCATTCCCAGGAGCGCTGGCTCACCAGGATGCTGTGCTTTGGTTGGAATTCATGGAATGTGGCCTTTCTTTAAAGCATCCTTAAGGGAAAGGTTTAAGTTTGGTGTGACCATGAACCTCCCTCTTGCCATTTCCGTGACCTCACGTGCCTGACTGTCCCCAGGGATGGGCAATGGAGCTGGGGAAGGGTCTGGAGCACAAGGAAGAGGGTCTGGAGAACCTCTGGGGGGGCTCAGCCTGGAGAAAAGGAGGCTCAGGGGGGACCTTCTGGCTCTGACAGGAGGGGGGTGCTGCGGGAGGGTTCGGGCTCTGCTCCCAGGGAACAAGGGACAGGAGGAGAGGGAACAAACTGTGCCAGGGCAGGTTTAGACTGGATATTGGGGAAAATTCCTTCATGGAAAGGGTGCTCAGGCACTGGAAGGGGCTGCCCAGGGAGGTGGTAGAGTTGTTCCAAAGGTGTGGATGTGGCACCTGGGGACAGCGCTGGGTTAATGGTGGGACTGGGTGATCTTGGAGGGCTTTTCCAGCCTCAGTGATTCCATGGTCCTGCCTGCCCCCAGCAGCTCTGTCCCGTTCATGTCTGCCTCTCCCAGCCCAGGATGGAGCTGCCCAGACCTCTAGTGGTGTAAGGGAAAATTAAACCCTGAAAGGTTGGAGCAGAAGAGCTGCTCAGCCGTTGTTTTCAACCTCCCCGGAGCGGCAAAATAAGATGCAAATAAACCACTGTGGCCTCGTTTTTTGTTAAGTTTTATGCTTAACCACGAGTCAGTATTCTTATTTCTTGTATTTCAATGCAGGGCTGTTGGGAGGGTAGAATTAAAGGGTGTTTAAGAGCCTCTCTAGGCTGGGAGCCCAGTATTTTTATCGAGTTTTGATGTTATTTATCTGTTCCGAGCAAAACTGAGGCTTTTCTTTGTTCCAAATCCATGTAACAGCAGGAGAAGGTCAGTGACATACAGTGAAGGTCTGTGGTGGGGGGAGAGCCCTGGCCACACATGGGAACAATTTAGAAAGTCCTTGGAGGAATTGCAAATAAATAAAGTCTAGGAAGTCCCCTGGATGGTGGGAGGAGAGGCACAGGAATTTTTCTATAATTTGGGACAGACAGACACTTCTTAATATTTCAGTGGTCCATTTCTACTTTGACTTAGGGAGCATTGTTCCTTTAATTTTTTTTCCTTTATTAAAAAGGGTCTGATTTTTGAGGCTGCAGCTGGAGATGAGTGTTTTCTTTTCCCGAGAATCCATTTGGAAACGGCAGCTCTTGCAACACAGCTTTGCATCCCCCACCAGCTGCTCCCAAACAACCCTCCCCGTGGCTGTTGGCTCCCGAAAAACTTTGCTGTGTGGGTTGGTTTTTTTTTTTTTTCCCATCCACGGTCACCTGTAAATGCGATTTCCTTCCCTGGGGGATTTGACTCTTTCCCTTTGGAGTCAGGAGAGCAGAACAAGAGGCAAAAAAGAGAGAAAGGGTGTTTTTCCAAGAGTTGCTGTTGGCTCGGAGAGGTTCCAGTGGGGAGAGAAGAAAGGCTCTTGGAGAAGGGAGGTTCAGAGCAGGCTCCTAAATTTAGTGCCTTTGATTTACCCAGAGAGGCTGGAGGGATTTGGGGCTTTCTTTGGGATGCAGTTTTGAGCCGTGCCAAGCCCAGTGCTTGGCACAGAGGCCTGGCAGAGGGAAGCTGGCTAGGGGGCAAGCTGAGCCCGTGGAAGGAGGATCAGGAGGATCGGTGTTGCTGAGGGTTTTCCCTTCTGTCCCGCAGCGGAGCCGTCGAAATCCCAGACTCGGAAGCCCAAGTGTGGGAAGGGCACCCACTGCTCCCGGAATGCCTACATGCTGGTGTACAGGCTGCAGGCCAGGGAGAAATCCCTCACTGTCGAGGTGCCAGGTGAGTGCTTTGGGAAGCCAGGCCAGCCCAGGGTGCTCCAGGCTGGGATTTTGCTCCAAGCTCCGTTTTGGGGGCTGCAGCCCCTCTGCTCTGGGGCCAGGCTGGGAGAGCTGAGGGGTGTTCACCTGGAGAAGAGAAGCTCCAGGGAGACCCGAGAGCCCCTTGCAGGGCCTAAAGGGGCTCCAGGAGAGCTGGAGAGGGACTGGGGACAAGGGATGGAGGGACAGGACAAGGGGGAATGGTTTTAAATTAAAAGGGAAAATTTAGATGGGACATTGGAGAGGAATTCCTGGCTGTGAGGGTGGGCAGGCCCTGGCACAGGTTGCCCAGAGAAGCTGTGGCTGCCCCATCCCTGGAAGTGTCCAAGGCCAGGCTGGACGGGGCTTGGAGCAACCTGGGCTGGTGGAAGGTGTCCCTGCCCAGGGCAGGGGGTGGGACTGGATGATCTTCAAGGTCCCTTCCAACCCAAACCATTCCATGACTCCATGATGTCGATGACTCCATGATTTTTACCCACTCTCCATGCGCCAAGTGGCCCCTCGGTGTCATGACCAGTGTTACCCCCTGGGCTTTCCCAGCACTTAATGAATATTAACCTGCTGATCCCTCCCCTGTGCCTGCTCAGACCTCTCTGTCTTAACCAGCTGGCTGGGATGGGGAGGGGTCAGGAGGAAATCATCCCCCTGGGATTTGCTGCAGGGATCCCACCGGGATTCCAGAGGCGAGGGAGAAGAGCGTGGGTAAAATGTCATGAGCAGTGCACGCTGTGTGCTGGAGGTGAATAATGCTGACAGATGTCAGGTTCCCTCTGCAACTGCTTCATCTTTGCCACATCAGGAATAAATGATGTGAAAACAAGAGGCTCGGAGCCCTGAGCAGGAATTTGGGCCGTGCTTTGGAACTGTGGGGGTGGCAGAACTCCCTGGGGGCTTGGCCTGGGGATTTAATGATGCTTCCCCGTTTGCTGCTTGATTAGAAATGTTAATTAGGCCCCTGGTGCTGAGGTGTGTTCCCCCTTCCTTTTCTGCAGAGCTGGTGGGTCCCTTTGGATCTCTGCAGAGGGGGTAAATCCTATAAATCAGGCACCTTATTCCCCCTCTAATAACACCCCCAAACCTTTTCCAGCCCTAAAACCCGCCCTCCAAGCCACGAAACTTCAGGAATTAGCACTGATTCCTGCCTGGATCTGCATTTTCAGCCCTGCTTCCTGAGCTGTCTTGCTCCCCCTTTCCTCCTACCCCTGTGCCCAAAACAATAACTCAACAAAAACCTCCCCACCCAGCTCCAAATTCCTGCGTTGCCTTTGTTTCCCCTGGAATCCTGCCAGGGAACAGGGAGCGAAGGGCAGCGCTCTGAGCTCTGTGGTTGTGGGGAGGTTTCATGCAACTGTAAATTTGAGGCATTTTTGCTTTGATGCTGTTAAAAAGCGGCTTTTCCAGGACAGTGGAGAGACACAACTTGGCTCTGACCTCAAGGAGGTCAGGCTGGTTGGTTTTTAGTGCTGGGTATTCTCCCAAGGAGGATATTTTTTGCTCAAGATTTAACCTTTCTGCAGATATTTTAGCTCTTCAAAATAATTCTAAATAGGAAAAGGCCTCAGATAAGCAGAGCTTCCCCCTTCCCCCACACACCAGCCCTGTGAGGGAAGTGGTTTATCTTCTTTTTTCTTTCCCTGCTGAGGTTTGGGGTTTGGGTTTTTTTTCCACCCATGACAGCAAAAATTCCCATGTCCCTCACCTTTCTGTTGGAGTGCTTATCTCCCATCTCCTGGGGGCTCTTTGCCCTTGGGTTTGCAAAAATGTGCTGGATCACAGGACGGGACAGGCCTCAGGTGATTCCAGCTCTTGTTCCCCCTCTGGGAACGATGAATCCTTGGCAGGACAGAGGAGCTGCCCTTAACACAGCAACCAGCCCCAAGTAAATAATTTTCTTGGGTGCAAAACGTTGCATTTAATCATCTACAGCCACCAATATTGGGCGAGAGCAACATCCTCACGCTCGGGAATGGAACGTGAGGGAATTTTTAGGTGTGTTATCCCCAGATAACCCCCAGTAATTAACTAACAGAGCTGGCATTTTCTCCTCACATTCTTGCCTTTTTTTTTTTTTTTTTTTTTTTTTTTTTTTTTTTTTTTTTTTTTTTTTTTTTTTTTTTTTTTTTTTTCTCTTTTTTCCTGTTTTTTCTCTCACACCAGCTTTCCTGCAGGAGCTGGTGGAGAGGGATAACTGCAAGTTTGAGGAGTGGTGCAACGAGATGGCCGAGATGCGCAAGCAGAGCGTGGCCAGGGGGAAGATCAAACACGAGGAGGTGAAGGAGCTCTACCAAAGGTTACCCGCCGAAGCTGGTCTGTAAGACATTGTGGAGGGTTTCTCTAAGTAGAGCTGTTGTTAAGATTAGTGATGATTTGTGACTAACCTTGCCCTCCCTGGAAGGCATTCCCGCAGCCCTCTGCAAGAGGAAAGCTCCAGCGTGCATGCTTAGATTTGTTTTCCCTTGCTGCTTTTCCTGCCTTAACCTATTTTTTTCTCCTCTCAATTTTTTTTTTTTTTGGCCTCTGGCGTCGCTAATTCCCTCTTGCTCCTTCCCCATCAGTCAGCCTCATGCTTTGTGACTCTTTTCTTCTGCCTGCTGAGCAGCTCGTTAGGAGCAGCGAGGCAGAAGAGCCGCCTGCTCCCCACTTGCCAGCTCAGGGCAGGTTTGGGAGCTGGTGATCCCAATTCAGCAGCAGGTAACTGGGAGAGTGCCTGACCTCCAGCAGAAAATTAGTGGATCCATCCCTGCCAGTGCCTCTCAGCTTTGTTAGTGACTGGGGTTAATCCTTTCCTCCTGCTCCTTGTGCCTTGTCACCTCAGCACGAGGGGTTTTATTCCCCACCTTGTTTTCCCCTCCCATCTCCCTCAAAAGAGTAGGGACACTTGCTCTGTCTGTCCAGCATGTGGAATTTCACTGTGTGCATCTCCTAAAAAGTCCAGGAAAATTATAATTGAAGGCTTGAAAGTGGCCTGTTGGAGAATTTGATGTTTAGCTTTTATTGCCAGCACTGAGGTTGGAGCAGCCCAAGGGAAACTCCTGCTCCTGTCGATCTGCCTCTCCAGTTCAGGAATGCAGGTGTTTAACTCCGGAGCAGGAAGGTGCCTCAGCTCGTCCTGAGTCCCCATGAGCCTGAGCAGTGTTCAGATGCCACAGTGAGATCAGAGCTGTGCTGGAGGGCTCAACCTGCCCTGAGTCACCTGCCGAAAGGAGCAGCAGCACAATCCCACTGTGCTTTCCCTCAGCAGGAGCAGAACAGTTTGCTCTCGGCATTTCTAACGTGACAGAGCAATAAATCCCCCAAAAAAGGTGTTTTTTTTTTTTTTTTTTACAAGTGCAGGTAAAGCTGTTGTGCCTCAACTTGGAGCTGCCAGGCCCCCAAAGCAGCGCCCTGGGGCATCCAGTGGGCACAGCCCGGGCACGGCACTCCCAGCACGGCCAGAGGCAGCGTCACTGCGGCCCTTGGAGCTGGGGGCTCTCTCTGCAGCTGTGCAGACACGTTCCCTGCCAGCTTTGTGGAGTCTGCCCCAGAAAAACGTCCTTTCTGGGGGAGGCAGCTTTCATCCCAAACTGGCAAACCCGTTCTGACAGCGCTGGAATTCTCCGGAGGTCACGGCTGCGGGGAGGGCGTTGCGTAAGATGAAAACGCCATGGGTTGAGGCTGTGGAGGAAAAGAGGCTTCACAGAGCTCCAGTGCGAGCTGCAGACACAGTGTTTTCCTGTCTGCTGTGTTTTCCTGTCGCTTCTCTGTTGCTCCTTCCCAGGAAACGTCAAGGATTTGTGTTCACTTGATGAATGTGACTCACGTTTCCCCGCGGTTTCAGAGCTGCCTTCGAGGGTTTAAAATTCCTGATTTCCTCCTAGTTTCCCACTCTGTATCCCACAGAGGAGTTGTGGATCAATAGTGTGTCTCAGTACTGAGATACAGGGCTGTCACCCAAACCCATTTCCCTGCCCATACAGGCACTGACCTGCTCCTGAACCTCGGCTTTGTGCAGGTGCTTCTCCCTCAGCAAACAAGGGCGAAGCCGCTGCTCTGCTTCAGCAAGAAATCTGAGCTATTTTTCCATTTGCACTGTAAATTTTAAAATATGTGAGTCTTTCTCACCCAGAATTGTAAGAAAAACACTGGAATTTCGAGTGCTGAAAGGATGGGCTGAACACTGACCTCGATTCTTTTGTGTTGTTGCTTTTAATTTTCAAATTATCCTGATGAACTCTCCCTGTTGTGGAAAAAGCCTTTCATGTATGATCATAATTTAAATATCGTATCAGTCCCTCGATGGATGGTGGGAAAACCTTCCCCTTTCCTCGACTGCTCTCCAGTAATCCCCCAAAGGTTTGAAAGCACTCCCATTCCTCCTTGGAGCTGTTCCATATTGATTGCTGAATCCGAAATGACCTGAACATCTAAATATCTCATGTCTTCTAAATCCGTGACACCGAGATGAGAACGGGGTGGGAGAAGAAGCTGGATCAGATGTTTGAAAACTTGTACCTCAGAGATGTAATCAACATTGATTGCCTGTTAATTTTTAAGAGGAATTCTAAAGTACCACCTGGTGTCGGAGCTGACGCGTCCGGGCTTGTTCCTCTTTGTGGTTTCTCCCCTCCCAGGTTCCCCCTACGACTTCATCTCTCTGGAATGGCTGCAGAAATGGCTGGATGAGTCCACTCCTCCCAAACCTATCGACAACACGGCCTGCCTGTGCTCCCATGGCAAACTCCATCCCGATAAAATATCCCTGATGAAGAGGATTTCGGAATACGTGGCCGACTTCTTCTACCGGCGCTACGGGGGAGGGCCCCGGCTCAACGGTAACGGCCCCTCCTGGGTGTGCTGGGCATGTCTTAGGGCCTTGTTGTGGTCCCAGCCCCATTTGGACCCCTTCTTTATCCTCACAACTTCATTTCAGTGCTTTAGTGCTGTGCTGTTTCCCGGGATTTTTTTTTAATATCACTTGATTCTGTTAACATTCCCCAAACCCCCTGAGTGGGATTGCAGGGTCTGCTGGGCCCAGGAGGAATTGCTTAGAAAATCCAGCACTTGGAAGGTTTGGAGGTGATTCTGGAACATAAGACTTGCACAAGGAACACCCCCCCCCAAACTCTTGACAGTCGTTTACTGTGCCTGCAGCACCTGCAGCTCCTGTGTGGGCAGAGTCTCAGGGAGCATTCAGGCCCAAAAAATCCCTTCCTGTCTGTCACCTCATCCGAGGAAGCACAGACCTGTTGGCCTACATTCTCCTGCTGAAGCATCCACCACACATCCAGCTTTTTGGGGTCAGCCCAGCCCTGTCCAGGCTTTGGCCACCCCTTCCTCGAGCCCCAGGCTTCATTCCTTTGAGGAAGGAGCTCAATAACTCCCACTGAGACCAAATTAGCTCAGCTCCTACCAGGAGCTTGTAGGGAAGGAACTGCTGGTGACGCAGGCAGCCTTTGTGGGGAAAAACAGGGCAAGGTTTATTAGTCAAGTGGAAGATTTCCTGAAGGGTTGTGGGCTGAGTGTGGCTGGGAGGGAGGGATAAAAGGATGGATGGACACGCTGCTTCCCTTCCCCTCTTGCTCCCAGATGAAAATAACACAAACTGCACACCACCAGCTGTAGGATTTCCACTCCTTTGGTCCAGTGCAGTTTTGCAGGAGGGTGGTTTTTTTCTGCTTCTAACTGGTAAAATGCCACAATACAGGTGTTTTCCTGGTATCTGCCTTTGCCTTCGTGCTGGGCTGACCTGGCTCCGACTGCAAGTGTTGGATACCAGGACTGAGATAGAGCTGTGGAGGGAGGGAAACAGATTTCACCTCATCTGCAGCATTTTATGCTTATTTAAGCTTCAAATGTGGCCTGATGTGGCCTGTAACCCCCAGGATCTCCTCATTTACACATGAAATCTCCCATCCTGAGGCCAGGACAGTTGGCACACACCAGTCTGAGGGCGTCCAAACCAGCAATAAGACACCTGTGCGATAAATTGTGCAATAAATAATGTTATAAAATCGTGTTTCTTTCCCCCCCCACCCCAGTCAAAGCACTTTGCAAGGACTGTGTGGTGGAAAGGTGTCGAATCCTGCGGCTCAAAAACCAGCTGAACGAAGACTACAAAACTGTGACCAACCTGCTGAAGGTCACGGTCAAGGGGTATGTCAGTCCCAGGTGCTTTTCAGAAGTACCCAAATAGCTTTTTTCCTAAAGATTTCACTGCTTGGGGCTGTGATTTTTGTGGTGATTTTCGTTGTTCTCTCCCTGCAGGAACGACGGGTTTTGGGTTGGAAAAGCCTCTTTGAGGAGCTGGCGTCAGCTGGCTCTGGAGCAGCTGAACGAGCAAGATGAAGATGCAGAGCACAGTAACGGCAAAATGAATGGAAATGCACAAAACAAAGGTATTTCCTCCCGATTTCCTCCTAATTTCTGCTGTATGGACCCACCAGCTCTGCCCGAGCCCTCCTACAAAAGACACACGGGGTGTTTCTGTAGCTGTTTTCCTTGTAGGAGCAGGGAGGAGAGGATAATAAATCAAAGAAACTCCTTCTTTTAAGGAGCTTTTTCTTTGCTAAGCTTGAAAACTGCGGGGTGATCATCATACCTGGAGAGGGAGATGAGGTGATAAGTGGTTTTACAAAGCCGTGTGAAATTACCACCCCAGCCACATGATCTGTTCATCCACTTTTCTCTGAAGGGGAGGAAGAAACATGAAAATTACCTCGGGGAAAGGGATGATGATGATGTTTATTGTGAAGGTTGAGGGATGAAACAGCGCAGGTGATGCAGCAGCGCCGGGAAAACACAGCCTAGGAACAAAAAATCATTAATTGGACTCAATCCTGTGCCCGTATCATGAGACTAAATAGGGGGTTGTTTGCCTTCTGCTCTTTAAATCTTCGGAAATCACATTTTGTTGAGCTTTTTGGAACTGAGAGCAAGAAGCTGCTTGGAATGAAAGCGGGGATGATGGCTCATGGCATTGATCTGGGAGGCTTGAGAGCACCCCACCCCCGATAATGTCTGTGAGGTGGAGCACTCATTGAGAAAAGGGCATTTCTGAGCTACCACTCACATTTCCTCGGGGCTGCCTTTCATTTACAGCAGGTTGCAACTCCCAGTAGTACAATTGAATTACTCACAAGCCAAGTTGCTCTTTAAGCAGCTCGTTAGAGGCTCTTACTGACACCTCATTGTCTTCCTGATGCTCCACTCAGTGGCCGAAGCTTTCGGTCTGCGGAGTTATGGATTTTAACTGTAATTCAGGCGTTGATGTGGGGCTTGTCAACCCCCTGCCGGCTTCCCCCTCGGTTTGTCAGGCAGCATCTGGTTTAGATCAGGAATTCTGCCAGGAATTCTGCTGCCTTTGCTCTTACCTAGGCTTGTGTTTAGGTTAAACTCGGGAGATCCTTGGGAGCAGCGAACCCCCCGCGGTGTTCCTGCCCCAACAAATGCATCCTTTGTAATCTCACAAAGGCTTGGCTTGTGCTCCACGCACTTCAAAGCCCTCCTACGTGGCCTGGAGGCTGTAATCCCGCCTGCCCAGAGGCCAAGACATCAGAGAACAACAAGTTTCCTTCCAAATTTTCCCTTGGGTTGAGAGTTTTGCTGGAATTTGAAAGGCGACCACGCTCCTTTCCCCCCCCCATAAGATTTTTCCCTGGGGGAGGAGCTCTGGGCAATCCTCTTGTCTTACTAAATTAATTTATTTTTTTTTCAATCAGATGAATCAAACGAAGAGAAGAGGGAGGAGGAAGAGGAGTTAAATTTTAATGAAGACATCGTTTGCCCACACGGTGAGTGTCTCCGGGGGTTGGAGCTGAATGTCTCCCTTGTGTCCCACTGCTCCACACGTGGACCTCGTAGCCTTTGCTCCAACTGCAGCCCGCGGGAGGTGCCACTGCAGAAATGGGCTTAATTCTCATTTTCCTGGGGGGGTTCTTGCACTCAGAAGTTTCATTTGCAGGCAGCTCCTGTAAGGACTCAGCCAGGCTGAGCTTCTCCCCCTCTCACGGCAGCACCAAAGCTCTGCAGCCACTTGGAAGCTCTGAAAGCATTAAGAGAGAAAGAGGTTGTGTAAATCGCTCCGGATGGGAGCTCCGAGGATCCATTTAATCCTGGTTTACATTAGAACAGCAGCACTCAGCCAACACCTGGGCTGGGACCTCCGGATATTGATCTCCCAACCTGCTGAGCTTTGGTGTCTGTTTACAGAAGGTTTTGACCCCGTGTGGGTTGTTTTCCAAGTGATGCCTCATTAGCTGCATCCTTGGCTACCCTGTTGTTGAAATCTCACTTTTTAAAGCTCGGGGATGCTTTTTAAAGCTCCTATTCCCAGACATAACTCTGTTTTAGTTAAGCTCCTCCTCGTAGGCACTGATTTCCCTCCCAGGGATGCTCCATCTTATCCCTAATAAGAAAGAAAAATGCCATAAATTAGCCACACTCCTCCTGTCATCAGAGCTAATCAAGAACCTGGAGTAAGGCTGGAGAAACCTCATTTTCCAGCCGAGTGTTTAAGCACTTTGTCACGATTTTATCTGTTACTCAGAGCCTTGAAAGCCACGTTTCCCATTGCCTCGAGGCTGCTGCTGTTCAATAAAAGCAGGGAGTGCGGGGATGGAACATTTATGTAGCCAGACACGATAAAAAATAGGCCAATAGGCCTTTGGAAAATATTATGGTGTTAAATTGCTGGTTGATCTGTGACTTTGGGTCAGAGCAGAATAAATAATACTGAATAAGGGGCTGCTGGCAGGGCAGGTTTTGTTGTCTCGAGCTACCCTTTGATTATTCGTGGAAAACAACCTTTCCACCTTGAAAAATTCCCTCTGGAGTGGATCAGCAAATCTGTAGTCTTGTTCTTACAGCCTTAATTTTGTGGTGGAGGAGGTTCCTGCCTCCGTGGGAGGCTCTGGAAAAGCCAGGGCTGGATCTGTGAGGGCTGGCTGGCCTCCAGGAATGCCACCCGGGCGTTCCCTCCTCGACTCCCTTTGCATCCTTGCTGCAGTTCCTCGCTCTCCAGTAGCTGCCTGATCCCAGTGAATAATTTTTTCCAGATACCAAGTTAAGCCTTCCTTTGATGTCAGTGCCCAAAGGATGTCCCTGGATGGTGGGAGTGGGAAGCAGGGTCAGCAGCGGTTGGGATCGTCTTCCAGATGGCAAAACACTTGTTCCTGCACACCCAGAGCTGATTTTTTCCACCTCTTTCCCTAACCATATTAATCTGTTTTCATTAATCATGTGGTGTCAGGGCACTTATTTGTACAAGCTCCTCTCCTTCCCCATCCTTGGCTCTGGACAACATCCTGGTCCGGCCTCCGGAGCCGCTTGGCCGTGTTGGATGAGGCCCAAGTGGCCAAGTGCTGCATGGAGGCCTGACCTTTGTTTATTAGAGGAAAAGCAGGAGAGGATGGTTGCTATTTTTTCCTCTCCAGGCCTGGCCACGTTCCAGGCTGGGCTGGAGCAAATCCGTGAGCCCGAGGAGCTGCTTGTCATGTTAAAGAGCTACCAGAGGGTGGGGAGGAAGGAGTTTCTCTCCCTCTCCTCTCTCTGCAGCTCTCCAGGCTATAGAAAAGCAGATAATAAGGTATTGTGCCCCTTGGACACGGCACTTGCTGTTCTCCTTCCCTCTTGCTGGTGCAGCCCCCACTGAGGCAGGAGTATTCCCAAATCCGGTTTGTATCCCGGTGTCGCAACGGCTGCTCCTCGCTTTTCTCCCGGGGCCTGCTCCTCGCACAGTGACTTCCAGCTGCTGTCTCAGAGGGGGATGTGGTCGTGCTCTCCCCTTGGATATCCTCACCCCTGCAAGGGGCAGCTGCTCGGATCCTGGAGCCTTCTCCAGTTTTCCCAAGCCTTGTTTATCTGGAGTGTTTGTTGTCACGTGTGCACGTGGTGTCCCAGAGTCTGGGTGTGTCTCCTGCTTCCATCCCTGAGACCACAGGCACAAATGGCTCCTGATAAACCCTTCCTGGGCTTTTGGAGCTGCCTGAGCATTGGGAGAATCCTGAGAGCAGGAGAAATAATCCTGATGGATAAATAAGTTGTCTGGGGGGCAGCTGGTAAATCTGGCCCGGTGTCTTCACACCCCGTTGATCCCCCAGAGCAGATTTAGGGTGCAAAATCAGCCACATTTTGAGGTGCTTGGATAGGGCATGTGAAGCCATCTGACATTCTGCAGGGGGAATTTGGGGTTTTCGAGGATGTGGAGAGCACCTGGCTCCTGTTCCACGGGGTTAATGTGGTGCTTGGGACACGGAGGCACCACGAGAATGTAGCTGTGGAGGAGGAACCAGTAGCCCTGTGCCCTCTTTGGCTTTTCCCAGCATCCCTGCTTGTGTTTGATCAGCTTGGAAATCCAAAGGACACTTCTATGAATTAAAATTATTATTACTATTATTACTATTTTCCCTGTCTAAGAGAAGAAAGGCAGGAGTTGAAGGTGACTTTGTCAGCTGGGCTGTTTTTTTTTGCTGACGTGGTTTTGGCTGCTAAACGTGTGGATCTCTTCCCCCACCTTTATTCCCTGTAATCTCTTCAATCAAGGGCTGCGAAACATCCCCTGAGCATGTTGTGATCAAAGCCCTTGCCTTGATTCTCTCCCTGCAGGTGACCTGTGCATCTCCGAGAACGAGCGCAGGGTGGTTTCCAAGGAAGCCTGGGAGAAGCTCAAGCAGTATTTCCCCAAAGCCCCCGAATTCCCAAACAACAAAGAGTGCTGTTCCCAGTGCAAGGTATTTGCCAGATATTCCCCTTTTTGTTGACTGTAAATACTGGTTGTGTTTCTGGCTTGCCTTTTGTCACGACCCTGTGCCGTGGAGGAGAGTGATGTCACCTTTTAGCACAGCTGGGATGGAATTCACTGTTTCCTGCAGATTCTGGAGCGTGAAGGGGAGGAAAACGAAGCTCTGCATAAGATGATGGCCAGTGAGCAGAAGACTTCTCTCCAGAACCTGTTCCATGATAAATGCAGGCCTTGCCTGGGCAGTTGGCCTCAGGTAGGGAAGGAGGGGAACCAGGGAATGCAGCGGGGCTTGGGGAGGTTTTATTGGCTTTTATCCCTCTCCTTCCAGAGAAGCTGTGGCTGCCCCATCCCTGAAAGTGTTTCAGACCGGGTTGGACAGGGCTTGGAGCAATCTGAGCTAGTGGAAGGTGACCCTGCCCATGGCAGGGGAGTGGAATGAGATCTTTAAGGTCCCTTCCAACCCAACCCTCTCCATAACCGTTCTCTCGGTCTGTGCCAGCAGAGCTCACACGTGTGCTGTGCTGAGGTGTGACTTCCCTGGATTAGCTGTGCTGGCACAGAGCCCCAAAGAGCCACAGGAATGGCTCCTGTGCCAAGGGAGCCGTGGCTGGCCCAGAGTCAGCCAGATAACAGGGACAATGTTGCTGCTGGGGTTGTATCCGTCCCTGGAAGGACGGAAACGCCGCGGCATCGCCGCTGGAAGCAGCTTCTCTACCTCTTTCCCTCAGCCTTCCCGGGTTGGAGGATGCTGGAACACCCCTGTGTTCTGCCCCACCACCAGCTTTGGCTGCTCCAGGTGTACCCCAGCATCCTCCTTCATCCCAAGAGCTCTGGAGGAACTCCTCAAAAAACCAACATCCTCCAAAGAGCCGGGATGGCCATGCAAACCCTCTCCTGGCAGCTTATCCGGGACTTTCTGGGGATTTAGGGTGGCCCAAAAGGAATGGAACAAGCTCTTGGTTCAGTCCTTGGCTCCTGGGAGTCTCGTGGTGCTGATTAATAGTTGGCTCTCCAACCCTGCCAAGGTGCTTTGGCAGGTCTCTGCCTCGGTCCCTTGCTGCTCCAGCTGGGAATGAATCCCGATGGATCCATGGCTTGGAACCAAGAGACCCAAAAGGGGCTCTCGAGCTCGAGAGCTCCAGGTCCTGCCAGGGGTGTTAAAGGGTTGTATCTGGCAGGATTTGCCTTTGGAGCTGGAGGAGGTGATGGAAAGCTGGAGCCCATCACTGTTGGTTGGAAACAGGAGCCTCTCCACCAGCAAGGCTGCATCTTCTGTTCCCTTTGGATCCTCCTTTCCCTTGGAATTTCCCAAGGGAGCCTGATAAAAGAGAGCTGAGGATCTTTCCCTCAGGTTTTTGGAGTTTTCCTGATCCAAACCAGTTGAAGTCTGGGGAGGAAAACAAGCAGAGTGGTTTGATCTAGAGATTAAGGGAGATTAAAAAAATACATATATTCCTCAGGTGTGCTGAATTTTCCTGAAGAAAGATGGAGCAAGCCCTTAAATCCCTGGTAGGGAAGATGGTGAGGTTAGAGATGATCATGGAAGTGATTTTGTCACCCAGCTCTTGGATCTGGGTGGTGTTTTGTTCAGGAGCAAACAATTTAATGGTAAATTGGGACAAGAACACAGGACTTATCCCAAAAACACTGCCTTGTTGGGTGCACAGCTGGGGTTTTTTATTCCTGCTGCTGCCAGAAGGAAAAACCTGTGGATTTTGATGTTGGAAGCAAGTGAGGGAGGTTGGGGTGGTCTCTGACCACGAATGCCCAGTGAGAGAAAACAGCGCTTGGCTGCTCCAGGGAAATGCCCCTTTCCCGCTGGGAATTAAAGGTAATTGGATTGAAAGCTTGACTAACTTTGTAATAAACAGGAGATTAGTAAAGTCAGTGCTTAGTGCTTGATCCCAAATTATTTTCCTTGGCTTTCCCAGCGTGCTTGGAGGGAGTTGTCATGGTAAAACCCTGCCGAGGTCTCGGAGGGAGCGAGCGCTGCCGACAAACCTATTGCCGGGTTCATTAAAAAGATCCCTTTTCCTTCTCTTTTTCCCCCCAGGAGACAGATGAGCTGTATATTGTTTCGCAGTTCTTTGTAGAAGAATGGAGGAAATTTGTCAGGTAACTTTGGCTGGAGGGTTTTGGTGCTTTTTTATCCCATATTTTGGGGGCTGTAGGTAATATTTTGCTTCCAAATCCCGGCACGGTGGGTTCGTGGAAACAAGAGAGCTGATTTTTGCAGGACTTGTGCTGGTTGTACAACACTGAGTTTCCTTGTTTACCGTGTGTTAACCAGATGGTCGGATTAGCTGGTAACCTGATTAGTTTTTTCATCTGTCTGGAGCTGTAGCCCAAAGGTCACCTCTCGGTCCTGTTTGCACGGGCTGGAGATGGAAATCTCCCCTGGACAGAATCATTTTGCAACACAGAGGAACGTGGATCTGATTTCCTCATCACTTGCAGTTAATATTCCATGTTGGAATGCCTTCTGTAAATAATTCACCTGTGATTTCTTCTTGGCTGCCTGCAGGTCCTGGGGGGAAGGTTTGGTGGGATAAGCTGGTGCATCTTTCCAAACCTCCTTCCCTTTTGCAGGAGGCCGACGCGCTGCAGCCCCGTGTCCTCCATAGCCAACAGTGTCCTGCTCTGCCCCCACGGGGGGCTCATGTTCACCTTCGCTTCCATGACCAAAGAAGACTCCAAACAGTGAGTTTCTTCCCTTCACACATTCTCCTTTCACCAGGACAACAGTCCAAAAGGATTGTTCTTGCTGCCGAGACGGGGAGCGAATCCTTTCCCTCGAACTGAATCAACACCTCGGCTTTCTCAGAGCCACCTCAGCCTTCCTGCAAGGCAAGACCTAAATTGTCCAAGGATGCTGGGTCAGGAAAAAAGAGCTTCCTTCAGCTTGGATAGTTCCTGACAATAACCACCCTGGATTTGACCGGGGCTCAAGGAACATCCTTCTTCCTTACAATTTGCTTTCCATGCCCGTCCCCCCCCCCGCCCCAAGCGCTGCACTTGGTGCTCCGTGGCGTTGCTTCTGCAGTGATGCAGCACTAAAAGTAGGAAATCTTCCCCTCCTTCCCTCCTCCATCCCTCCCTCCGGCACGGCGGGAGCACAGCAGCGTCACTAATCACAGCCTGCCGCCGTCAGGGTGTGCAGGCCCTCCCCTGCAGCTGATTTTGGGCTGGATTTTGCCAGTTCTCTTTTGTTAAAATGCCGAAGAGGGAGGGGTTGGGTTTTTTTTTTTTTTTGGGGGGGGGAGAGCTTGGCTTTTCCATGTCATAAAGCACCTGGCTGTTCCTTTGCACAGTATAGCTCTGATATGGCCCAGCGAGTGGGAGAGGATCCAAAAGCTCTTCGTGGTGGATCACGTCATCAAGATCACCCGGACGCAGGGGCCCGAGGGCAGCCGCTACACCTCAGAGCCCCGTGAGTGGCTCTGCTCCCTGGGCTCTGGGAATGGCTCTTGTGGGATAAAAAATGGTCTGAGGGGGGTTGGTGGTAAACGTGGAGCTTGGCAGGTTCCCCACCTGGAACCCTGTGTCCAGCTCGGGGTCGCTCCCAGGGCTGCAGCCCCTCTGCTCTGGAGCCAGGCTGGGATAGCTGGGGGGGTTCACCTGGGGAAGGGAAACTCCAGGGAGACCTGAGAGCCCCTCCCAGGGCCTAAAGGGGCTCCAGGAGAGCTGGAGAGGGACTGGGGACAAGGGATGGATGGCCAGGACAAGGAGGAATGGTTTTAAACTAAAAGGAAATTTGGATGGGATATTGAGAAGGAATCTTTCCCTGGGAGGGTGGGCAGGCCCTGGCACAGGTTGCCCAGAGAAGCTGTGGCTGCCCCAGCCCTGGGAGTGTCCAAGGCCAGGTTGGACAGGGCTTGGAGCAAGTGGAAGGTGTCCCTGCCCATGGCAAGGATGAGGTTTAAGGTCCTTCCCAACCCAAACCATTCAGGAATTCAATTGATCCACTCCGGGCTGGCAGTGAGAGGCACTAGGACGGGGCCTCCGAGGAGCTGAAGCAATTAAATATGATTTTTTTTCCCTTGGAAATATGTTCATTAAACATACTAACATATTCAATATGTTTATTAACATATTAAATCTGCTCTCTTCCCAGAGCTGTGCCCGGAGTGCCGGGAAGGGCTCCTGTGCCAGCAGCAGCGGGACCTGCGCGAGTACACCCAGGCCACGGTGTACGTGCACAAGGTGGTGGATAACAAAAAGGTACGGACAGGCTCCCCCTCCATCCTGCTCAGGGAGGGGGGTCTCACAGCCCCCCAGGGCTGGGACCTGCTGCTGGGGTCCCTGGTGGTGGTGAGGGCAGAAATCCCCCGGCTCTGCAGCTCCAGCTTTGGCCCAACTGGCAAACGGGAACGTTCCGGCTCTGAACATTCGGGCTCCTTCTGCCAAACGGAATCCTTGGTGTTTTCAGGGATGCTCCCAGCTGTTTCTTCTGTCTCAGCTGCGTTCCCAGGCTCTACCTGCTCTCCTCCCCCTCCAATATTTTGTCATTTCCTTTCTTCTTGCTCGAGTGACATTTATCCCTGGATAGAAATAAGCTCTTCCCCTTGGTGCCGGGGAGAGGCTGAACTCTGAGATGGTTTTCAGGATCCCTTGAAGCTGCAAATTATGTTTTTGCTGATCCTAAGTGTCAGGATCAACTCCAGAATTGCTTTTCCAGGGACGCAAACCTGTTTCTGGTGGAACTTAGGGCTTTTAAGGAGGGAACCAAGGCTGGTGGGCACTCGGATCAAGACGTTCCCTGCACTTTCGCAGGGTGGGAGTGGGTTGTTTTTTTTTTTTTTTGGCCTTCCATTGATTTCCACCTCCCTGCCAATCCCAAGGAGGCGCTGGAGCCCGGAGAACCGCAGGGAGCCGGAGGCTGGATGGGTTCCTGCCTGGCTCGTGAGACGTGGAGCAGCAGCACGTCTGGAGCCATCGGCCCGAATCCCGAGGCTGGATCCGCCTCGGCTGCGCCGCAGGACAGGGTTGGGGGTTGTGTTTTTCTGGCACCGGCCAGGGCTGCGCTCACACGTGGGGCTGGCAAAAAAACAGGGAGCTATTCTTTGTGGAGCAGCTGGAGCTGGAGAGAGGGGGCGAGAGAGTGCCCACGAGATTCCCTCGGTAACGGGGCGGGGATGGGAAGCGGCGGGAATGCCAGCCAGGAGCACTGGGAGCCACTGTGTCCTTCCTGCTGGGCTCTGCAAAGGCAGGGAGTGTTTCCCAGCCCCTCAGCCCTTCTCCTCCCCCTGGCACCTCCTTGGGGTGCAAGAGGGAAGCCCCATCCAGATAAAATCATTGTAGGGTGGCACTGCTGGAATTCCGAGAGCTCTGGGGAATGTTTGGGAGCTGGGATTGCGTCGATAATTTTAAATATGTCGATGGAATCGTGAGCTCTTGGGCATCCAGGTCTCCTGAGCTCCTGCAACCCCAGCTCTGGCCACAGCAAAGATGGGAATTCACATCCAGGCAAATCCATGTCTCCTGGAGTGACTTCCACGGACCTGAAGATCCCTTTTATTTATGTATTTGTGTGAATTGTTTAGGTTTCATTTACTTACACCCTGCAGCCCCATAAACAATGCTTCTGAGTCCTTCTGCAGGGAGGGATAAGTGTCTTAATTTACAGATAATACTCCTTTCTCCATGGTGAGGCTTTTGTAATACACTTGGATCAACCAGCTAATGGGAAAGGAATCAGTCCAGGCCTCGGGAGACTTTCCCTCTGCCTGGAGAGAAGGGCAGGAAGCACCTGCAGCTCCATGGAGGGGGATTCCTGAGCCCAATCCCCCCGAGGTCCCACGCAGCTGGGGAGGGTGGAGGAGCCTTTGCAGAGCTCCCAAAATGGGGTCATTGCCGGGCTCTGGGGGTGGAGGTGGCACCGGGAAGGTGTCCAGGAGCTGATTCCGTGGTGGGACAGTGCGGGTGGGGGCCGTTGGTCACAGCAGAACGGTTTTTGTGACTCCAGGTGATGAAGGACGCGGCTCCGGAGCTGAACGTGAGCAGCTCGGAGGCTGAAGAGGAAAGGGAGGAAAACAAGCCAGAGGGGGAGCAGGATCCCGATTTTAACCAGGTAGAGATGAAAAATCCCAGCAGGTTCCTTGGTTTCTGCATCATCCCCTGGAGTCAGCACGGTGGGGTCACCTCCCCACTCCTCCTCTGTGTCCACCTGGCGGGGGAAACGTGTCTCAAAGTGTCACCTGAGCGGTCAGACCACACCAGTGCTGGTTTTTAGAGAGGTTAAACACGGACAGGGACTCGTCTGCACGTGGAAATCTGCCCCACGCTGGCACCCCAGGAACTGAGGCTTGAAGGCAAATCCTTTGGTCTTCTCCACACTTGCACACTTCAGTTGGCTTTCCAAGGGGTTTTCCGTCGCTTCCCGCCTTCCCTCGCATGACCAGCTCACCCCAAACACCCTCTGGGCTACGGGGAAGTTCTGGTTATTCCCAAATAACTCCCATCTCCTGGGGTTTTGCCTCCTGTCCAGGCCAACGGCGGCACGAAACGCCAGAAGCTGTCCCAGCAGAGCTACATCACCTACCAAAAACAGGGAATCAGGAGGAGCACCCGGCACAGGAAGGTCCGAGGGGAGAAGGCCCTGCTGGTGTCGGCCAACCAGACCCTGAAAGAGCTAAAAATACAGGTGGGGGGAGAGAGTCCTGCCAGGAATGGGTAAAAAGCACCAAACCAGGAGTGTGGGGAGGGAGGGGAAGGGTCTGAAATCCCACATGGGGTCAGACTGGGGTGGAGTGTGGTGCAGTGGGAAGTGGGGGGATTGTGTTGGGGTGGGAATTGGGGTGGTTTGTGTGGGAATTGGGATGTGTTGGAGGGGGATGTGATGAGGTGGAATTGAGGGTTGTGTTGAGGTGGGAGTTGGAGGAGGTTGTGTTAAGGTGAGGATTGGGGTGGGGTTGTGCTGGAACGGGAAACTGGGGTGGGGGAGTTGTATTGAGGTGGGTTATGTAGGGGATGGAATTAGGGTGGGTTGTCTTGGCGTAGGAATCAGGGTAGAAATTAGGGTAGGTTGTGTTTAGGATGAGTTGTGTTGGGGTGGGAATCAGAGTGGATTGGAGTGGGAATTTGAGTGGGGTGGGTTGTGTTGGGGTGGGAATGGGGGTGGGATCTGGGGGCTCTGCAATGCCCCACCCCTGCTCCACGGGCCGTGTCCCTGTCCCAGATCATGCACGCCTTCTCCGTGGCCCCCTTCGACCAGAACCTGTCCATCGACGGCAAGATCCTGAGCGACGACACAGCCACGCTGGGCAGCCTGGGCGTCATCCCCGAGTCCGTCATCCTGCTCAAGGTGCGCGGGGGATCCGCCCCCAATCCACAGGGATCCGCCCCAAATCCACAGGGATCCGCCCCAAATCCACAAGGATCCGCCCCAAATCCACAGGGATACGCCCCAAATCCACAGGGATCCACCCCAAATCCACAGGGATCCGCCCCAAATCCACAGGGATCCACCCCAAATCCACAGGGATACGCCCCAAATCCACAGGGATCCACCCCAAATCCAGGGGAATCACCCAAAATCTGTGGGGATCTGCCCACAATCCACAGAGATCCAGCCTAGAATCCATGAGGATCCCACCCACAATGCAGAGGGATCTGGCCCAAAATCCATGGGGATTCCACCCAAAAAACCAGGGGGATGGGCCCAAAATCCACAGGGACCCCACCCACAGTTCAGGGGGATCCTACCCAAAATCCAGGGGATCTGCCCAAAATCCAGGGGATCTACCCAAAATCCACGGGCATCTGCTCACAATCCATGGGCATCCACCCCAAATCCAGTGGAATGACCAAAATCCATGGACATCCACTCACAATCCACGTGGATCCAGCCCAGAATACATGGGGATGTGGCCCAAAATCCACAGGGATCCAAGCCAGAATCCAGCTGGGTTTGTGCAGTCAAAGGGAAATGTGTGGTGGGGCCTCTGAAAATTGGGGAAAATTCAGGGAGTTCCTCATGGAGCCCCTTCCTGGAGGAGGAAAATCCTGCTTAGTCTTGGTTTTGAGGAGGAAAATCTCTTTTTGTTTTTTTGTGAGGTTTTTGTGTGTTGTTTTTCTTGTTGTTTTGTTGGGTTTTTTTGTTTTGTTTTGTTTGTGTTTTTTGGTTTTTTTGTTGTTTTTTGTTTTGTTTTTGTTTGTTTGTTTGTTTTGTAGGGGAGGGGGGTTGTTGAGGAGAAAAACACTTGTTTTGCAGGAGGAAAACCCATAATTTTTTTTTGGTTTGGAGGGGGCATATCCAGTTTGCTTTGGAAGAGCAAAATCCTTAATTTTTTTTATTTTGGAGAAGGAAAATCCTTATTTTTATTGGTTTTGGTTTGGAGGAAGAAAATCTCTTTATTTTTTGGAGGAGGAAAATACTTGCTTTTGAGAAGGAAAATCCTCAGGTTTTTGTTTTGGAGAAGGAAAATCCACATTTGTTTTGTTTCGTTTTGTTTTGGAGGAAGAAAATCCTTATCTTTTTTTTTATTCTGGAAGAGGAATATCCATTTTTTTGTTGATTTGGAGGAGGAAAGTCCTCCTTTTTTTATTTCGGAGGAAGAAAATCTTGATGGGTTTTGTTTCAGAGGAGGAATACCTTTTTTTTCATTTTGGAGGAGAAAAATCCTTATTTCTTTTTTTGTTTGTTTTTGAGGGTGGAAAATCCTTTTTTTTTTGTTTGTTTTTGTTTTTAGGGGAGGAAAATCATTGTTTTTTTCCTCCCCAGGGCCTCTGTTGGCTGGTTTTGCTGCTGAGCTCTGTGGGTACCAGCCCCAAAATCCAGCTGAATTAGGGAATGATCTCCCCTGGCGTTCCCGTGTCCCTGCTCCCCTCCGAGGTGGCTCCCTGGGCTCCTCCATTCTCATATTCCTGTGTTTTTTCCAGGCTGATGAGCCCATCGCGGATTACGCGGCGATGGATGACGTTATGCAAGGTCAGAGGGGAGGGGGAAGGTTGGGGGGGGCCAAGAATTTGGGTGGGAAAGGGGGATTGTGGCACTTCCTTGCGGTTTTTGGGATGTTCATCCATCAGAACGACTCCTAACGCCTTCCTTTCCCTCCCATCCCAGTTTGTATGCCTGAAGAGGGATTTAAAGGTGAGTTTGGGTGATCTTCCCCCTCCCTTTTTACCCAAATTCCACCCCGTCCCACCTCCCTCCTCATCTCCTGGTGCTGTTTTATCCCCCCTCCAGGGACTGGTTTACTCGGCCACTGATGGTTTTCCAAGAGGAGCGACCCGAAGGGAAGAGGATTTTGGGACGTGGTAGGGGCATTCAAAGCATCCAAAAAAAAAAAAAAAAAAAAGAAAAAAAAACAGAAAAAAAAAGAAAAAAAAAAAAAAAGTTGGATCCGGGACTTTGTGACTCTTCCAGGAGGCAGGAAAAACCCCGAGCGAGGCGTGTGCTCCCCACAGCAAACCAAACCAATGCCTTATGTCAAAGCAGATTGCACTGAAGGACATCCCTGCTCCAGGAGAGCCGGCCCGGGGCTGGCAAATAAACAACAGCCAGGTTGGGAAGCTGAGCAGCGGCAGTCGGTGTGTTCGGGGCGAGGGGGTGTCCAGTGATCCCACAGATCCCAACCCTCCTGCTCCATCCTCCTCTCTGGGATAACCCAATCTTTGATCCGCTGTCGGGCCCGCTTGGAAGTGGCAGGAATTGGGACTGGGTGGGGAACGTCTGGCACACACACACACACAACGAAATCTTCATTGGTTTCACCCCAAATGGGAGCTGGGATCTGCTTCCCAAACCTTCCCCTCTCCCGCGTCCCTCCGCCACTTCCACACCTTGGATGATCCAAGAGCCACCTGTGCTCTGGGAACTGGTTGTTTTGGGTTTGTTTTTAGAAATTTGAGGTGTTTTAGCAACTCTGGAGAACATTTTCTTCCCGGAGTGCTTGGGACAGCCAGAGCCAGCAGGGGGGTGCGGGTGGGAGGTGATTCCCATGGGAAGAGGTTTTTTCCCCCCCTTTATCCTCATTTTTCAGCAATGCACTAATTATTATTTTTTTTTTAACATCTCCCAGCAAGGATTTCTCCCCATTAATATTTAGCAGGAACTATCCCACTTCCAGACTGATCCACACCAGGCACTGCCAAGGGATCTCTGTCCTGAAATTCCAAGTTTCCTCTTCCTTTCCAGCCTTTTCCCTTGTTTCCTTGGAAAAACACAATGTGGAGATCACTCAGTTTTATTTTGTCAAGGTTTGCGAGAATTTGGGATGCAAGAAGAAGGGGGAGGGGCAAAAATCCCATCCCCCAAAACCCCACTAGTTTTGATTTCCAAGGTTTGATTTCCAAGGTTTTATCCCAAGAATTCCAGCTGTTCTTTGCCAAACTCCCTCTCCCCTGTCCCTGCTGGATTTGGGGGTGAAGCAGCACCATTTGAGGGGTTCTAAAGCTCCTAAGAAGTGGTTTTTTGGGGGGCAGTTTGGATTCTTTCCCAAGGTACAGACATGAGGAATTCCATGTGCCGAAGCCACAGGAGGTTTTTTCTTCCCAGCCTGAAGCACTCACTTGTGTACATATTCCTTGGAAATTCCATCTTTTCAAGTTGCTGTTCATTTTTTTTTATTGTTATATATATATATATATATACATATATATATATATAAAACCACCACACAAATCTCTTCCTTGAGCTTATCCTGTTGTGGGAAGGGATCCCGGGGGGCCCTGGGGGTGTTCCGGGGCCGCGGCGGTTCCGGCAGCGCCGGATCCTCCGGAGGACGCAGGTCCCAGGTGTGATCCCAGGGCCCCGTTCCCGTTCTGTCTGTTATTTGCAAATATTATCGGATTAAAGTTGTCATTGGAGCCGTGGCAGCCTCGTTGCAGTGCAGACACGTGGGATGAGGGTAGTGGAGCAAAGGGGGAGGGGGGGTTATCCCATAAATCTCGCTCTGAGCTGTCCCAAAAAGGGCTGCGGGTGCTGCGGGGTGGGGTGGGAGCGAGTGGGATCCTGCTGGAGTGGGAATCACCCCAGCCTTGGCACAGGGAATGGGTTTATGGAGCCCTGG